CCTCGAAGAGCTCGAAAATTATTAAAAAATCTGATAAAGAATGGTTAAGCTAAAGTAAATACCAAATGGTTTAAAATTTTGATGGTACGGAGTTCAATTCTAATTTATTCATATCAGAGATATACAAAGACAAGATATAAAAAAGGTAAATACGAAATGTATACTTTTTATAATTGAATGTAATTGATTAAATATAATTGATTGAACCACAATGCACTTTATCCGAGCGAATTTTTCGTTAAAAGTCAGATGTGAAGAATACTCGAATAAGCGGCGCCATGAAATAGACACCATGGCCTTCCATTTGTTCCTTCGCGTAAACTCGTTTCTCCGTTCCGCGAGGCTGAGGCGCGCTAGGACGGTAAATTAGGGACTGCATAATATATTCCCTCCCGTGACGGCGGCACAGAGTGAAAATTCTGCTTAAAAATTCAAAACTTGGAACGAGAGACCTAATATGCGCGCCGTGCGAACTATCGCTCATGGGGCTCTGAAAATGTAAGGAAGAGAAATGACTCTTATGACAGAAACTCAGAAATTGGACGAAGCAAGATAAAGGCCCCGCCAAGTTTGATAATAGAATGCCCGCCACTTTTGTTTTGCACGTCGCATTGCTTCCCGTGAACGAGGGAGAAATACATTTTCAAGAATATACAACGAAAATAATTAATGTTATTCTATGCATTTTTAAGATGTAAGATAATTAATATAGTCGCGTATATTAATATCCGTTAGCTAGATATTTTCTCTTGAAAATGTATAGACTGTCGCTAATTTTTCTCGCTATAAAGTATTCACTTCTAATTATACGTTTGCCTACATTTTCAAGCAAGTTTTAGAAACTGATAAAAAATTAATAAGACAATTATTAAGACAGATATCTCGAGTAGCCGAAAGATGTACAGTGATGGAATGTTTTAAGAATAAAAATCATTTCTCTTAGGGAAAATATTTCGTATAAAATATTATTATTAATTTTCTTGGAAACTCGGAAAATTATTATTCAACGAATATTTTCTGTCCCAGCGGACACTCTTAGGCATTACAACGGTAATGCTTTACAAAATCAATAGCTCCCGTGCGAGTTATCGAAAAATGTGAATTAGTAATGGCCGATCGATGGAATTGTTACTGCTTTACCAAAGCTTATTTTATGCACACTCTCGGAAATAAGTTCGGTCAATCAAAACAAAGTTGAGGATCTCGACTCGCGAATTGTTTTATCGATCGACTATGAAAAATCGAGAGAGGAATTTGGAAAAATTCAACTGTCGTCGGGGCAAGAGAGCGAACGGATCGGCGTTTCCTCTACGGCTGACAGACTGGAAAGAAAATCCATCCGCGATTCGCTCACGCAGTTTTAATACGCTCGGACAGAGGCGTATATACATCCCCGTTTCCGCTTTCCGGCGCGCGTTGTTCTCGCTGACATCCTCTTCCGCGTCGCTCGACCCATCTCCTCCGCAAATATTCTCGCCTTCAATATCTGACCCAGACCGACGATGCCCGGGAAGTCTAGTGGAAACGGCGCTTTCTAGAGCGCAAAATTGTCACGTGACCTCTCTCTTTGTTCTGCATACGCCAACATCTTCGTCGATTGAGTTTGTTTTCTCTTTCTCATTTTATCTCGGAAATATTTAATTCATCTCGATAGGAGAGGTTAGCACGAATTTTATCGATAAATCGCAATTATTTCTCAGCAATGTTCCCCGTTATTTCGCGCAAAAGTAAATTACCTGAATACATCGGATCTTCTTTTAAATATTTATAATTAATTTATTGATCGTATTGATTTTACGATTATTATTTCTTCAATATTTAATTTTATCCCCATCAAATGCAAAATAATTACGGCTCAATATTGTGTTTAATTAAAGCAGCCAATAGTCTTAATTAATAAGTAATATGTATTTTAATTACATATTGCAAAAATCGACTCACCAGCTCTGTACTTTAATTATAAATAAATCATAAAACATTTTCTCCCTCAAATCAGTAGTCGATTTTCTAAAATTAAAGTACGTATATACCGCGAAACGTAAAAGCATAATTTAGAAAATTATTGAAGTTGAAAGTAGATGCGATCTGTGCGCTATATATGCAGTAATACGTGACCATGTATACGTTTCTTGGTAAAGGACGGGTAAATCTACGAAACGCAATCACCTTTCGTGTCGCACCTGCGTCAGTCCTGTTATTTATAAGTAAAACGGACTTCCTATGTCGGAAATAACCACTCAAAGTTATTGCTAACCCAATATAAGGGTAGCAATAACATAGATCTCTTATTGAACATGAAACTCATTGCGTGGCGATGCAACTTTTTAAAACTAATTACTGCAGATATATATCCATACAAAAAACAATTTCTGCTTATCTTCGTTCGTTTGCGTAACGAAATGAGCAATGAAATAAAATTAATCTCTTTCCTTTGACGTTTGTCCGTATTAAGTTTTTAAATTACTATTACGTATGTGAGAGTGCATGTTATACATAATCACAAAAAAAATAAAATTGTTGAGGAGAAAGATTTTATTTTTACAGGTTTTGATTTGTGTTGAAAAAGATGATATCTAATAAAATATCGGTAGCTGGGATATCATTAAATTCATACTAATTAATTTAATTATTGTTTGCAACAAAGAATCTTAGACTTCCCATTAAAGAACTTTCTACTAAAATAACAAAAAATATATTGAAACTTAGATATAATTCGCTGTTTCTAACTCATACATTAATGTGAAATTAAAAACTTTACTGATGGACAATATAATATACCTTTCTCAACGTACGAACGCTTACTAAATAATAACAATCGTTTCGTCTCTCTATGCTCTACGCATCGTTCCGTCTTTCTCGTGTTTTTCATTAGAGTAGGGCACTCCCCACTATGATACTGGCATACTGACATACCGCCAAGTATGTAAACAAAGACGCGTATTATTCATAACAGAGCAGGTATAGACTGTTTATGAGGTAGTGGGGGATGTTTTCCGCAACGAAAAAGACAGATTGTAAATAGTTTGGGTGTCTATCTCTTTTTAACGCAAAATAGTGGGAGAAACATAGCGGCATTACGCCGCCGGCGTGAGAATGTGTATGTCACGAGTCACGACCGGTTATACATACATACAGAACCGCGCGCATACTAGAGAAAGACAGACACCCGTACTATCCCTTTTCTCTGTGGAGAAACATTTGAATATTTCAACTTATGACTCATACATTAATGTGAAATTAAAAACTTTACTGATGGACAATATAATATACCTTTCTCAACGTACGAACGCTTACTAAATAATAACAATCGTTTCGTCTCTCTATGCTCTACGCATCGGTCCGTCTTTCTCGTGTTTTTCATTAGAGTAGGGCACTCCCCACTATGATACTGGCATACTGACATACCGCCAAGTATGTAAACAAAGACGCGTATTATACATAACAGAGCAGGTATAGACTGTTTATGAGGTAGTGGGGGATGTTTTCCGCAACGAAAAAGACAGATTGTAAATAGTTTGGGTGTCTATCTCTTTTTAACGCAAAATAGTGGGAGAAACATAGCGGCATTACGCCGCCGGCGTGAGAATGTGTATGTCACGAGTCACGACCGGTTATACATACATACAGAACCGCGCGCGCATACTAGAGAAAGACAGACACTCGTACTATCCCTTTTCTCTGTGGAGAAACATTTGAATATTTCAACTTATGGCCAGCCTACCTCGTAAGCAGTCTAAATCTTACTATGTCTATGGTATTATTATATAAATGAGAAAAATATTAGGAATACAAATTATACTTTGAACCTGGATCTATCGTCTGCTAGACACACGTTGTACGAATACGTTACTTGTACTCCTTATTTGTTCTCTTCTACATGTCTATTACATATTTCTCATAATGATAACTCACGGATAATTTCAAAATATTTCATTTTATAATTTATATTTTTATTACGAAAGATAAGAATCCAAAGCAGATTGTTTGCTAATAGATACTTTAAAAAGCAAACGGTATATATATATATATATATATATATATACTTGCGCGAAGCGATGACTGACAGACTGACACGTAACGTCATTGGTGGATGTTGCGATCAGCGACAATAACTGGCGATAACCTGTTTCTCGTTTCTCGTGGTCGTGTCAGGAAAGAGAGGCGAACGTGTAAGTTCGCGTTACAAGAACGTAACGCGACATGTAATCGGATCTTAGAGCCGCTGTTCGCCTGATATATCATCCGATATATCTTATCCTTGATGTATCCGTGCGCGTGGCGACGCGACTT